ACTAAGAAACGAGTAGCTGATGAAGGGGCGGCCGATACTTCCTCCGATCCGGCTCTGGGTGGTCGGATACTTGGCGAGGCTGTAACATCGTTACAATATCTGAGCTCACAAACCTAGACGCGATGACCCAGGGACTAACCCGATTGAAGACGGCGTTCGACTTGTTGTAAGCGACAGCAGCGAACAAGCACAAACCTTGTGGAACCAGGACTTCCTTCGATATTGGAAGCTGCAATTACTTGCTCCAATCAAGTCATGGAGATTTCCTGCTGAACATCGCAAGACTGCTATGTACCAGAACCATTGGTTAGCGGCTAGCCATGCTTTACTACATTTGGTTCCCTTGAGCAGCGCAGTGGCGCTCTTGATACTTAACTGGAGTCAATATTTTGTAGGGCCTTCTTTCACGCTCTCTACTACACTACAGTTTGTCGCCAAATTACAAGAGCTTCTAATGCAGGCCTCCCTTGCTGAGATAGTCTCGAGCATCGTTCGCTCACAAGTTATGGAAGGATATCTGCCCTTAGGTGCCCTGTCAGCATCTACACAGGCGATGCAAATATCCTACCTCTGGTCGTTCGATCTACTGGGTGCAGTGACCTCTCGATCCTTCTACGGACGGCGGAAAGCGTTATTTTTTTGTCTAGTTCCTTTGTTAATCCTTCTAACGGCTCTCGTTGGGCCTTCAAGCGCTGTTTTAATGATTCCACGGGCAGGAATGTCAAGTACACCACATGTTGTACATTGGCATTCCAAGAGCGATGAAGATGCCATGTTCCCTTCTCGATTAGACAACAGGCAAAATTTGACATTGTGAGCGAAACAAAGCGCAACGCATTGTGACTAGCACTGACAGAGTGTAGTAACTTGGATCGTTTTTCCACAACTTACGCATTCACGGAGGAATCTCAGATAGAGTATACCAGCACTCAAACCTATTACAATGGAAACGATACGGCGGTACACTTGACCTCACGTGTTTTGCGTTACATCATGATGGCGAAGGAGATTTCAAGTGGCCAACGTAATTTCGTGATACGCTCCGCAAACGCCACCATCCCGACCTTGCTTATTATTATTATTATTCTTATTCTAGTTTAACGTCCTGTGTCAGCCGGTGGGCTATATAAGACGTGTAGGCTAGGCCTACAGGTAACTACGTAGT